ACACTCTCTCTCGCATTTATGTAAAATAAGACTGAAGTCACAAAGCATCCTGGCCACAGGAGCATCAACAGGTTGTATAATTTATCACAGGGCTCCTAATTAAAAGCACATCAATCACCGAATGGAACTCTTTATTCTCAACGGAGTTGCGAAATAGAGGTTCAGCCAGCAACAGCAACTTCTTCAGTCCTTAATCATCATAACCTGTATCAATATCCTCAGCCGGGTTGCTAATGAGCATTATTCTCTTCCTTAAGAACTGTCCTGCTAGAACTCAGAAGGTACAGAATAGCACTCATGAGGAGGGGGTAGCAGAGCAGAGGAAAAAATAATGCACAGGTGAACCGTGTGAGATGTGAGATTCATTGCACCACTAAACTGGAGTACACAGTGTACAGCCAATCTTAACCCTTCGAATTCAATGAAACAAAATAACAATGAGGATTTAGTAGGACAAATTTAGAGTCCAGTGGCACCTTTAAGACCAACAAAGGTTTATTCAAAGTATGAGCTTTTGTGTGCATGCACACTTTTTCAAATATGTTGGAATGGCAGGTAAGGTTCAAAGTTATAGCCAATGAATGAACAGCAAATTAACATGTAACATGATGATGTTCAGAATATGCAAAGTGAAAACTAAACAACAATTTAGTTTTGGTCAACTAAATAACAAGTTAAGTTTATAAGGTCAACAGTCGTAAAGCAATAAATATGTCAAAATAGCAGATAAATGTTTAGGTTTAGCTGGACCTTGGTTCAGGTTAGAGTCCAGTGGCACCTTTAAGACAACAAAGTTTTATTCAATGTGTGAGCTTTTGTGTGCATGCACACTTTGTCAGACGATGAAATGGAATTACATATCGTAGTTGTATATACAGGGGTGGCTTGTTAAATTATCATACAAAATAGTGAAGATATTTTTTAAGCAGAAACCAAACTTGTCGTTCTTTTGATCTGTTAAAAAATATCTTCACTATTTTGCATGCTAATCTAACAAGCTGCCCTTATATATACAACTATGATATGGAATTCCATTTTGTCGTATGACGAAGTGTGCAGGCACAAGAAAGCTCACACCTTGAATACACCTTTGTTGGTCTTAAAAGTGCCGCTGGACTCTAACTTTGTTCTACTGCTACAGACCAACACGGCTACCCACCTGGATCTGTGGTTCAGGTTGTTCATGGCTTCTAAAAGGCAGTGTGTGAACCAAAAGTGCTCAATAGTTTCATATTAATTAATATATATATATATTTTCCCCGCCCCTCCAACTTTATCTAGAACTCATGTTTAATTTGGTTGACAAAATAGTAAGAAACCACCGGTATTACATGTGTTTCGTGCAAATAGGAAGCAAGTCACCAGTGTTGTAGCTTTAGCTTTGATACAGAAATCCTCTGAACTTCAAGGCTCTTAAAATGAAGTTATCGTAAAACTAATGAACCACTTCAGTTTTCATGCTGCCCTCCTGAAACCAAGAACAGTCTGAGGAGCACTAACTCTAACCAGCTTATTATTGGTGGTTCCATACAATCCACTTAACCGAATTAAACATATATAGGCATGAAAAGTGATATATGAAAAAGAGGCTGATGGGGGAAAGGAACAGCCCTTCATGTGTTCTTTTCCCCATTTTTCTTTCCTAGGATCAGGGCTATTTTTGGGCAGGAAAGCACAGGAACGGAGTTCCGGCTGGCTTCAGAGTTGGCCACACCCACTACAGCTAAAACCTCTGTGTGGGAGGCTACAGAGGGAAGGCCTGGAGAGCGACACCCGCCCCCGCAACTCCAAGGCAGGGGGGCCAGGGGGGCCCCTGGAAGGATCTGTCCAAGGGCTGGCTTGCCCGGACTCCTCGCAGGACAGATCCTTCCAAGGGAAGGCATGGGGTGTGGCCTAATATGCTAATGAGTTGTGATGTCGGGGGTGTGGCCTAATATGCTAATGTGTTTCTGCTGTTGGGTGTGGCCTGTTATGCTAATGAGTTCCTGCTGGGCTTTTTCTACAAAAAAAGCCCTGCCTAGGATTGAATCCTATGTGCAGATCTTTCCCATGTTTACCACTCCACTACAGCAGTTCTTTCCTGGGGACCTGGATGGAGTAAGAGCCGTATGAGTCGGGAGGCTGCAGTGCGGTTGGGGTAAAGGATGAAATAACTTCCTTCTTCCTCTTATTTATTTATTTATTTATTTTGTTATATTTCTATCCCGCCCTCCCCGCGAAAGGGCTCAGGGCGGCTCACAATTAAGGGCACCATGTGCCAGGTATATAAAACATATAAAACAAGATAAAAACAACCATATATTAAAATTAAAGTGCTCAGTGATGTTAATCCTTCAGACGAATTTAGATGGCGTACTGTCGATGTAACACAAAGTCCCAGTTCAGCGGTGACCGATCCATCACGATGCTGTGGCTCGATCTTCGTACAGGGCCAACCCACTACCCCGTTGTTACTAACAATAATAGGCGGTGGTAGTGGTAGTGGCGACTCCTAATTAAAAGCCTGGCGGAAGAGCTCCGTCTTGCAGGCCCTGCGGAACTGTAAAAGGTTCCGCAGGGCCCTGATCTCCTCCGGGAGTTTGTTCCACCAGGTAGGAGCCGCCACTGAAAAGGCTTTGGCCCTGGTTGCAGTGAGCCTGGCCTCCCTGGGGCCTGGAATCACTAACCGATTTTGTGACCCCGACCGTAGTGCTCTCTGGGGGTATGTGTGGGGAAAGGCAGACACTCAGGTATGCCGGACCCTAGCCATATAGGGCTTTAAAGGTAAGTACCAGCACCTTGAAGCGGATTCGGTATGCTATCGGCAGCCAGTGCAGTCCTTTCAGCACAGGCCGGATGTGCTTTCATCTAGGGAGGCCCATCAAGAGCCTGGCCACAGCATTCTGCACCGGCTGCAGCTTCTGGGTTTGCGTCAAGGGTAGCCCCATGTAGACAGCATTACAGCAGTCTATCAGAGCTGTGCTGATCAAAAAGGCAAAAAGGATGATTTCATCCCTCTCTCAAACCCTCCCGCAGCCTCCTGGCCCATATAGCTAATATTCCATATGGATCCTGCAACCTCTGGAAAAAACTTTCCTGGGGTCAGCAAGGACTGCAATAGGGAGAGGAACGAGAAAAAGGATCCATGCCTGCCAGCAACTTCCACTGACAGACTGTGAGACCCAACCTTTAATGTGGAAGTAACCACAACAAACACTAAGAAGAAAAAAGTTAAGGGAAAAACAAACAAACAAGTACCAAGCTGCTGCTCTGAAGGAGAAACTTTACGATTTAATTTGTTCAATTTCTGTCCCCAAAATAGTTTTGCCCGCTTTGTGCTTTTGGTGTTAATTTTTTTTTCTTGCTTCTCTTTACACTTCAGAATCTGTTCCATAATCTTTATGCAGTATCAGAGTTTTATCATTCATCAGGATCCCTTCCTCTAGCTAAGTTTCACCTAGCACATTGTCCATCCCAAATTACCTCCCTTAGGCTACTCAGAATGCAAACAGTTGCATTCAGCCACAGTACACAAATGTGCCTTTCTTCTAAGCTCTTTCTGTTCGTTTTCTCAACTTAAAAAAAAATTGTAGACGGAAAGCACTTCAGGACCAAGATGCTTGCTTTGCAGGGCACATGCCAGGGCTACACAGAGTGAAGGTAAAGTAAAGGTAAAGGTTCCCTTGCTCGAAAGCCAGTCGAATCCGACTCTAGGGTTGCGGTGCTCATCTCCGTTTCCAAGCCGAAGAGCCAGCGCTGTCCGAAGACGTTTCCGTGGTCATGTGGCCGGCATGACTAAACACCGAGGCGCACGGAACGCTGTTACCTTCCCACCGAAGTGGTACCTATTTATCTACTTGCCATTTCTTGCTTTCGAACTGCTAGGTTGGCAGGAGCTGGAACTAGAGACGGGAGCTCACTCCGTCATGCGGCACCTGGGTCTCGAACTGCTGAACTACTGCCCTTCCACAGCCTGCAGTTCAGCGTCTTAACCACTTGAGCCCTGAGTGAAGGCAGGATGTAAATTTTAAGCAGCAATCCATGTGCAGCTCCAGCTTTTACCAGCGCACGTTACCTCCGTATCAAAATTTCTGGTTCGTATGCATGCCTCCTCCCCCCCCCCCTTGCATCAACATACCTTGATTTAAGGGGAAATGGCATGTAGAGATGTAAGGGGGGGGGGGAATCAGCACGTGCTTACGAGCCTTCTCTGTAATCCTGTGCTTAAAGATAAATGTCATGTCTGAAGCGATTATTTGTTGAAACCTCAACTGACATCCCTGCATCTGATGTACTAAAAATAAACATTTTTTTGTGTTTTGTGTTTTTGTTTTTTAAAATGTTTATTGCAAGATATTCCATATGTACAATGAAATTTATACTCTCAGTCAGAAATACACAGCAAAACATTACATAACATCATGAGTCCATGTTACTTCAACACAAAGTACACAACTAACCCAGTTGAGAGATCTTCTCTCTACCTTACTCCTAAACAAGGCTCCCTCTAAGCTGTGGAGTCCTGTGAGTAAAAATTCTACTTGGTGAGCTCCTGGCATTAAAGCTGTGAGCGAGCGATTGGACTACTGCATGAATTAGTTTGGTCTGGAGCCCTCCTTCATGAGCTAAGACAAAGATCTGTGAGCCAGAGGCTAAAAAACTGTGAGCTAGCTCACACTAACTCAGCTTAGAGGGAACACTGCTCCTAAATCCCTATTTGTGGTACCAAGAATATTAATGGAATTAGAGGAGTTCAAAAAGTAAAAGGAGTTCTCAGACCTTAGTGGACAACTTTATAAATGAAGCCATTCTGTGTAGCTGGGATTCACTGGTAAGATATCATTCTCTGAGAAATATGCTAATAATGGGAACCATTTTCGAACAAATGGGCATGTGGGTTCCCACCCCAGATTTGTTCGAAAATATATGTTGAAGTCGGGTACCGAAGCACCCGGCACCCATTTCTCTCTGGCTCAGTACGTATGAACAGCCTCCATTCCTGAAGAGAAACATCTACTCACATGGGGCATAGAACATGACAAAGGCATGTCTCTTCTTCTTCAGAAATTCCCTGAAGTCTTCACCAGCAAGGTGGATAACACTCGTTCGCTTTTCTTCCCAAGTTGGTTCTGGTGGAGGCGGAGCCTGCGGGCTGAAGAAAACAACGATCCGGGCTTATGTATTTACAAAGCGCGCAAAATCCTTGAAGTCTCCACAGATGTTTCCCAAAAGAACAGTGTCGTAAACTCTACCAATCTCTAAAGCTAGAGTAACGGCAGATATTCAGAAAACGGGCAACAACTCCTTGTCCTCAAATCACACATTTTAGTTTGAACCCTTAGGGGTAATGCCACTTCTGAGGCCGACACAAGGCATGATCAAATCAATCAGTCCTTTATTCGGCCAACGACCAGTACAAGTCAAGAATAAAAGCTTTGCAATAATGTCACTCGAAAGTAAAATCGGTCCGATCTACTGGCAACAATTAGTTAAGATCTGTACATAAAACATCTCTACGAATTCTACGGGCTACTGAAACAAAATCTGGCACAACTAATGGTAACCTGTTGATTAGCACCCCAATCAAATCAATAGGGTCTGTTTTTGCAGAGAGTGAGCAACTACAGAAATTTAAATAGAAATGTGAGACAATTGATTTTTTGTGTCTATTGACTAATGGGAGCAGTGTACAAAAATCAAAGTTTTAAAACTAGTAGTCCAATCGGCATTGCGGTGCCAAAGGTCTGAATAAACAGCAGTTCTGTTCGCAGCACTGAAATGCCATTAGATTACCTGCAGTGGTAAAACTCACTGAGAATTAGGACGGCAGGGCAGCGCACAAAAAAGGATTAAACAGATTTAATTTACTGCCTTTAGCAGGGTATCGTCAATTACAATGGAATGACTGGATTTAGTGAGATTCCTTGTTTAACAAAGACAGAAATGAGCCCTAGGCAACAAAACCATACATTTAGGAAGAAGAGATTAGATTGATAATCTGCCCTTCACTACCAAAGGAGTCTCAGAGCGGCTTACAATCTCCTTTCCCTTCCCCTCCCCACAACAGACACCCTGTGAGGTAGGTAGGGCTGAAAGAGGTCTCTCAAGAACTGCCCTTGAGAGAACAGCTCTGAGAGAACTTATGACGGACCCAAGGTCACACATATGGAGGAGTGGGGAATCAAACCCTGTTCTCCCAGGTTAGAGTCCGTGCTTCTAGCCACTACACCAAACTGGCTGTTAAATCAATCAGATGTGTCTCTTATCCTAATAACATTATTTAAATTGTTTACATACCTTCATCCTACCTATGCAAATACATCTCACATTACATCAATGCCACATAATCAGTTCAAGGTCAAATGTGGATTCTGCAACCAAAACTGAGAGGCACATGAGTGTACCCACACAAAACACAAATACATGTGGTTATGAACCCCAAATCACTATCACAGGGATTATGTAAATATGACAACTGAGCAGGGGTCATTTCGTAGAAAAAGAGCTAGGGGAACTCATTAGCATAACTCATTAGCATATGCCACACCCCCTGACATCAGGGGCCCGGCGGTGGACCTGCAAGGCCATCGGGAGTGCGAGGAAGCCCCGCCAAGGCCCTCCCTGGCCCCAGGCTGGCAGGGGTGGGGAGAGGCAGGGAGGAAGCAACTTACCCTCCCTCTTCTCCTGCCTCCTCCTGGCTGAATGAGGGCTGGAAGCGGGGCAGCCGGAAGCAGGGGGCGGGGCTTCATCATGTGCCCCGCCCCCTGCACCTCACCCGGGGGAACTGTGTTCCCCCACGTTCCCCCCCCGAAATGACCTCTGCAACTGAGATGCACAGCTGTATTACCCATAGATCTCATACAACAATCAAGACACAACTGCCCTTGGATTCAATGAGTTCAAATCCATTCCACTTATGGTGGTGCTTTTGCCTGGAACAAGAAGCCTTCTCCTGATACCACAGGCTCTTGGCAGTGCATCAACGGGAAGCAATTTGGGTCAAAGGAACATACCACCAAATACTTTAAATAGATCTTCAGGAACCCAGCCCATGTTTCTCCACCTCGGCTAAGAAACAACGACTGAGAAACATGGGACTAGCAAGATGCAAACAATTTATATGGGCTTCTGCTGTGCTTTGCAATTCTTTTTTTAAAAAAATATTTTTAATATAAAAAACTACAATACAAAATAACGACTCTCTATCAACAATTACACAATGAACAATTAGCATAAAAAGTCTATATAAAAAAGTCTCGTTAGGGAAATCTAGGCTAACCAAACACCAGTAACTTGTATCTGGCTTTTGATATAGTTTCCCAATCAAAGGTGTCAATGTCTATTTTATCTAAGATAGGATACCAGATATTTAGAGGATTGGAAAAGTCACTCTCATTTTGGTTACTGGAATGATAAATTGAGAAATTGTCCAACATGAATAGATCCCATACTTTATACCACCACTGAGTTATATTTGACACCAGTGTTCCCTCTAAGCTGAGTTGGTGTGAGCTAGCTCACAGTTTTTTAGCCTCTGGCTCACACATTTTTGTCTTGGCTCAGCAAGGACGGCTCCAAAGCAAACTGATTTATGCAATAGGCAAATCGCTCGCTCACAACTTTAATGCCCATAGCTCACAAGGTAGAATTTTTGCTCACAAGACTCCACAGCTTAGAGGGAACATTGTTTGGCACCTTAGTATCTTTCCAATACTTTGCAATTAGAATTTTAGCCGCTGTGGAAAGAATACTGATTAATTTTTTGACTTTTTCAGGAGGGCCGTCAGAGGGCCACAAACCGAGGAGAAGAACAGCCGGCGAAAAAGGTAAGTTGTAATTCGTTAATTTATGAATGCAGTCTGTTACTTGAAGCCAAAAGCTTTACAATTCTTCCTTCTCAAAACAATTATCAATCACAGCTTAAAAGAGCAGATTGTGATACAAATCCCCAAGGCCTTCACTGAGCTAAGGTTTAAACCTGATGTTCCTGGTCCAGGTCCAACATACTTTCTACCACTCCAACAGTTCGAAGACTTAGCCCTAGAGACAATTCAATGGCTAGTTGGTGGATGGCTTGCTTTGCCACAGATAAACTTCCTGTGGGAAACTGGCCTAGTCAGAGTCTCTCTCCGTGTATTAGTATTTAAGGTATGTGCAATATACTTTAAGTTCCCTCATAAAGGCACGGTGAGGCCAAATTAATTAAACACTTTAATGATCTTTCAGGAAACACAGATAATAAAATTGCAAAATACTCTTAATTAAACTCAGGTTTCCCAAAGTAGAGGGTATGCGCCTCCAGGCATATGTATCCCAATTATATGGTTAAAAACTCAACAGTGCCAAATAGGGCTCAAAACATAAAAAAAGAGAGTGAGAGAGGTCTTTTTATGGACCCTTGGCTGCCAGCCTGACAAATTTAAGGTTTTTGAACAAACAATTAATTCACTTACCCTTCCCCAAAAAGACACTTTTTTTTTCCTGTACGCAAGGCAAATTACTCCAGACACACACAGAAGCATAAATGCACATGCGGTTTTTAAATTCGTAGAGTTACCCATTTGATTCAAAATTATGCAATTTACCCCAGGCTAACTGGCAACCTTCATGACGAATAACTTCCACAACAATCAGCCGGACAACCACCACCAAATCCTGCCTCTTAGAATTACATTTTTCGATATTCATTAGGCTTTAATTTCTACAGCGGTAGGCACAAAAGGAATTTGTGTAAAGAGGCTACTTTTCCACAGCCAGTAATTATTCCTTTTGTAAAAGGTAAAGGTAAAGGTTCCCTTGCTCGAAAGCCAGTCGAATCCGACTCTAGGGTTGCGGTGCTCATCTCCGTTTCAAAGCCGGAGAGCCAGCGCTGTCCGAAGACGTTTCCGTGGTCATGTGGCCGGCATGACTGAACACCAAGGCGCACGGAACGCTGTTACCTTCCCACCGAAGTGGTACCTATTTATCTACTTGCAATTTCTTGCTTGTGAACTGCTAGGTTGGCAGGAGCTGGAACTAGAGACGGGAGCTCACTCCGTCATGCGGCACACTCGGGTCTCGAACTGCTGAACTACCGACCTTCCACAGCCTGCAGTTCAGCATCTTAACCACTTGAGCCACCACAGACTGAAACCAGACTGAAAAGGGTCTAGAGCAGATGAGTTATCTGAGAAGACCTGGAGCTGGTCTGCTACTGCTGTCTCAATCACTTAGTGATGAACTTGTCTAATCCTCCTTTTAAAGCTATCTAAAGCTAGTGCTTTGTTGTTTTCTTGGGCGACTTCTCAGTGCTCAGTATTATACGGTGGACAACAAATAGTTTCTAATCACTTTCTCAATATCATGCTGTCCTTATCAAGATGGGCAGCCATGTTAGTCTGCCTGTAGCAGTAGAAAAGAGCAAGAGTCCAGGAGCACCTTAAAGACGAGTAGTGACTCACAAAAGCTCATACCCGGACACAAATTTTGTTAGTCTTTAAGGTGCCACTGGACTTTTGCTCTTTTCTAATGCTCTTTGCTTAAGGACAATTCTATTGTAGACATTTGGCAGAACAATCATAGGAAGGCAATTTCTGGACCAGAAATTTATACCAGAAAAATACCACTTGGCACGTGATTACACTGTTGGAGGCCTCATTGGTACTTTTTTATTCTGTGCCTAGTGGTCTCAGTTTGGAACAACTTTTTTCTGGTCCCTGTTGATTTTATATCTTGTATCTGCATGATTGTATTGTATTTTAGCCAATATGTTCCTCATTATACTTGACCTCTGAAGAAGACCTATGCAGGCCGAAACGCGTCAGGTCAAATCTATCAGCCCTTGTGTGTTATAATTTGTTATTTGTATATCACCTGCTACTTCCACCATTTACTTCATAAAAGGGGAACCTATGGGGTGATCTTGTTCCTATTTCCCATTTAGTGGCTCTGCTGTGTATGGCCTTGAAGGTACCAGAGAAAGACCTTAACAAAAAGCACAAAACCATCAAGCAATAGCCACATATATGAAAAGAGCTGGAAACATCCTTAAAGCCCAAGTGGCAAGGAAGACACCTCTGCCCCATCCCGCCTCATCCCTGCTTATAACAAACTCTGAAATACTTACAAGAAGCACAATAGCTATAAACACTTTGCAGCAGCAGCACGTTCCGGCAGCAATCAAGTCACCACCACGAACGACAAGGATTGAAACGCACCCCCCCACCCACTTAGGTTGCCAAGTCTTACCTTTAGCTGGAGCGGGGGACTCCCGGCTGTTTCCCGGAGCGCGCGCACGCCGCAACCACGTCACCCGGAAGTGACGTGATCACGCTGGGGCGGGGCCACGACCATCCGAGGGAAAACCATAGAGTTTTCCCTCGGATGACCGTGGCCCCGCCCCCAGCGTGCCCGGCATGGTTGCGTCACTACTTTGGGGGTGGGGTTCCCCCCGGGGCCCGATCTGCCGACGGCAGGGAATGGGCCTCTGGGGCGGGGGTTTCCCCGCCCCCCAGGGGGACTTGGCAAGCCTACCACCCACACACACACCCCTGATTTATTTTTGCAGAACTGTTAACTATTCTCTCTGGAGAAAGTCTTAACATGTTGAAAACACAAAACATTTTGTTCAGAAAAGAATTACGACGTATTAGAAGGAAATTGCCCTTTCAGGGGAAAATGTTTTCTTTTTTGTTGAATATAATTAGCCCGTTTTTGTGTAGCTTTCAATATAAGGAAACAATGTGCGTTGGGGGTTTTTTTGTGCTTGAGAAAAGATTCAAGGAGAAGACATGAAGTCAAGCTGAATACTGAATTAACAAAACATGGGCTACTTAATCTTGATAAATCTTTGGCACACACCACTTACTTTAAGAGCCATTCTATAATTTTACTCTTTGTCTGAAGGTGCGGAAGAGTATATTTCTCCTCGCCATCCTGGAAGTACTTGAGAGTTGGAAATCCTGATATGCGAAATCTTTCTGCGACAGCTTTGTTGACAGTGGCATCTACTGCTGCCAGGACGCCTGCTCTCTGCAACAGAAAACGTTAAGGTTATACCTGTAAAACTGTAAAACTGTAAATTATTACATGTAAATCATAAGATTAGAGGGGAGACAAAGAATTCACAAGCTGGTCATCCAAAGCCCCAAATGGTTTTACAAAGCGCAAAGCACATGAACAAAAGTGCGCGTAAGTCCTTTAATCACCAAGAAACAGTTTAACAAGTTTTTAAAATGACAGATCCCCAGTCCTCATGAAAGCCTTAAGTCAAGACACTACAGTTTTAGTTGTGAGCAGGGGTCATTTGGGGGGGGACGCGGGGGGACGCCATCCCCCCGGGTGAGGTGCGGGAGGGCGGGGCCTGGAGCTCCCTGCTGGTGCCCGCTGGAGGTCACCGCCGGCTGTGGGGAGGACACACTTCCGGTGATGTCAGGGGGTGTGGCATATGCTAATGAGTTATGCTAATGAGTCCCCCTAGCTCTTTTTCTACGAAATGACCCCTGGCTGTGAATTATGGGTGGCAGCGGTGGGGGAAGAGAAGGAAATTGAGAATGGAGCTAATCCGTGGGGCTATTCATTGCCTGTCATTTAAACACTCTCAGGGTATATGTGATAATGGCAGGGCTATTTTTGGGCAGGAACGCACTGGAACGGAGTTCCGGCTGGCTCCCAAGTTGACCATGCCCAGCAGGAACTCATTAGCATAATAGGCAACACCCAATAGCAGAAACTCATTAGGATTGGCTACATTAAGGGTGTGGCCTAACATGCAAAGGAGTTCCTGCTACAAAAAAAAGCCCAGGGTTTTGACAACAAACAAGGTAAACAGAATAAGAAGCAAAAGGTGGGTGTGGCTGGATGTCGACTCTTCTGGTAACATGGGGGTGCAGCCTAATATGCTAATGAGCTATGCTCTCATGGGTGTGGCTGGATATGCTAATGAGTTTCTGTTGTTGGGTGTGGCCTGTTATGCTAATGAGTTCCTGCTGGGCTTTTTCTACAAAAAAAGCCCTGGATAATGGGATGATTTAGCATGCCCCTGGGCCTTGACTGAAGGGCTGCTACATGCATACCTACACTGGCTTTCATTTGTGTAGCTGTCCGGATAGCCATTATTGGTTTTGCAAAATTCTACCCACCTTCCTCTCTACAGTCCTTCAAACCTCAATGAGCAGGTGGGGATTATTTTCGAATATAAAATGCCCACAGGACAATGCCTTGGGTGCTCAAACTGCACAACAAAGTCAATTTTTAAAAAACAGAATACCCTTATCAATTAAGATGTGGTGTTAACTGCGCTAATGGTAACGAATTGTGCCTAATTCTTCCCTGTGCATGACTGAGATGTATGCTAGGTAGGCAACAAATCAAGTCAAAGCATGTGACACCTGTGTAAACAGATCTACAGAAAAGAACACCCTCATTAGCAGACAAGTACATTGTATAAATGCAAGCTTTAGGTTTGCATTAAACATGAAGATGGTAATTAATGGAGGGGGCAAAGCATTTCTGTGCAGCATTTGGTCTCGATCATGTTATGTGCAACACAAAGCAGAATATATAAACACCCGGATTTTGTTGTTGTTGTTGTTTGCATTTTAAGACAGAATGTTCTTGCTAACAATTTTGGCAGGGCTCATGCATTACCGATGAGATTGTACTTTGGAACCATCTCTTTCACATCCCCTTGGGAAGACGAGCATAGCTGAAATGATTGCAGTGAGAAAGAAGAACGATTTTTATGATTTTGGTTATTTATTAAGGATCATTTGGAGAAGAGGGGAGGAAAGGGAATTAGCCTTACGTTGCTGTCGGCATGGAGCATCTCCGCCGCCTTCTCATATTCTGGCTTCATCTTCTTACAGTGCCCACACCCTGTTGGAGAAAAGCTTAACTGAACATTTTTTTGCAAAGAAAATCAGTCACTACATGCTCCAGAATATCAGATGGCCGTCCAAAGCTGAGCTGAAAACAATATTGGTCCAAACCCTACTCGCCCACACAACCAATTTTTCAACATAGGTAGTTGGGGGGGGGGAATTGAGGGGGGCAGAAAGTTGCGATCCGGGAGGGAAGAGAGACATGGAAGATGCTCCACACCTTGTTAAAAAAGAACACTTGAAATAAAAACAACACCACTACTAGCAGTATTAGCAATAATAAAGTTCTGGCTGTGTAAAATTTTGCCAGTCATTAATCCTGGACAAAGCAGGCAGTCTTGTCCTCAGTATCTTGGAAATTTGGTGGCAGCAGGGCTATTTTGGGGCAGGAAGGCACAGGAACGGAGTTCCGGCTGGCTTCAGAGCTGGCCACGCCCACTATAGCCAAAACCTCTGCGTGCGTGGCTACAGAGGGAAGGCCTGGAGAGTGGGGCCCCCCCTGGCGACCCTGAGGCGGGAGGGCCAGGGGGCCCCTGGAAGGATCAGGGAGGCATTTAAACGCCTCCCCATGCCTTCCCTGGCCTGTCCAAGGGCTGGCTTGCCTGGGCAAGCCAAGGGAAGGCATGGGGGTGTGGCCTAATATGCCAATGAGCTGTGCTGTTGGGGTGTGGCCTAATATGCTAATGAGCTTCTGCTGTTGGGTGTGGCCTATTATGCTAATGAGTTCTTGCTGGGCTTTTTCTACAAAAAAAAAGCCCTGGGTGGCAGAAAGTGCCATCAAGCTGCAGCTGACTTGCGGTGACATCATAGGATTTTGAAGTCAAGAGATGAACAGATGCAGTTTATCTGCCTCTGCGTGGCAACCCTGGACTTCCTTGGTGGTCTCCCATCCAAGTACTAACCAGGGTTGACCCTGTTTAGTTTCTGAGATCTGACAAGAGTGGGCTAGCCTGGGCCCTTCAGCAATACACAGTGCTTGCTTTCTTTAAATTAAAAAGGTAAAGTTCCCCTTGCTTGAAAGCCAGTCGAATCCGACTCTAGGGTTGTGGTGCTCATCTCCGTTTCCAAGCCGAAGAGCCAGCGCTGTGTGAAGACGTTTCCGTGGTCATGTGGCTGGCATGACTAAACACCAAGGCGCACGGAACGCTGTTCCCTTCCCACTGAAGTGGTCCCTATTTATCTACTTGCAACTTCTTGCTTTCAAACTGCTAGGTTGGCAGGAGCTGGAACCAGAGACGGGAGCTCACGCCATCATGTGGCACACTTGGGTCTTGAACTGCTGAACTACTGACCTTCCACAGCCTGCAGTTCAGCATTTTAACCACTTGAGCCACCACAGCTAGAAAAATTGTATAATGCTTTTCCTAAGTACACACACTTCATGCACCTAAGTCCAGCAATCTCTACAACGGCTTTGTAGGACAGGCTCATTCAAGATGAGAACTGAGGCTGAAAGACAGTAGCTTGCGAGAGTAAACATGGTGGGTTCATGGCTGATACGAGATCTGAAACAGGGGTTTTCCATCTGACAGTCTCATACTCTTAAAGCATGATGCTTTCCTGGAAGCTTCAGAAGACAGTGGCTAGTGCTAGGGAAGGCACAGTGATTAAGATACATCTCTCCAGCACTGAAGGTTATTGCTTTGAGCTCACTTGGATGCACACTGGATGGCTGGCTTTCAATCCAGGGAAATGAAAATATGTACTTTGATCCATTGGAGTGTGAAAAGGACTACCCATGTTACAGATACAATGATGCCTCTTACACACAGTCTGCAGTCTCAGAATGCATTCTGTGTCCTGTCAATGAAGTGACTTCAAAAAAACACCAGTGTGCTGCAATGCTCCCTCTAAGCTGTGGAGTCCTGTGAGCAAAAATTCTACTTTGTGAGCTACTGGCATTAAAGTTGTGAGTGAATGATTTGGCTACTGCATAAATCAGTTTGCTCTGGAGCCGTCCTTCCTGAGCTAAGACAAAAATGTGTGAGCCGGAGGCTAAAAAACTGTGAGGTAGCTCACTTTAACTCGGCTTAGAGGGAACACTGGTGTGCTGTCTCCTGGGGGAGGAAACACAAAGTCTTGACAAACCCTGAAATTCATCACACCTCCAATATATACATTCTCCGTGGAAGAGAAATGTCCATCCTGGCCAGAAGGGCATGCAAAGAGAGCAGCTTTATACCAAGTCCTTACCTCAACTCACTTAAGTGACATCAACAGCACTTTCCAATGTTCGCTTGCCTGGCATGACATTTCTAATCAGCTGCACTGGAGGAAGCCGTCATGCTATGCCTCTAGCACTAGTTGCGCTAGTGACAATTCTGTTTCCCTGTAAGACCATAAATCCCATCTCACTCATCATATACACATGTAAAGATGGGATTGGCCTGTTGCTTTTATTTAAAAAACTGAAAGGACCAGCTGTTCAACAGCAAAAGTTATGTTTCCTTATGACCATCTCTAGAATACTGACGCACATGTGAAAAAATTACTTGACACCATAAGGGAGCAAAAGGATTATTAAACAGGCTCATATACACACATTTTCTGAGCTTGCAAGAGTCTTTTCCGACCCAGCCCACATTTTAACAGATTTGTTTACTACAGGCTTCACCGATGGTGCTGTTGCTGACTCCTTATCCAGCCAACACATATTAACGTTTGGGTGGGGGCCTAACATGCCAATGATTGTATGCAAGCTTTAACAGATAAAGGCAGTCATGGGAAACAGCTCATTTACCACCACCATACCTCACCTTTTGAAAACCCTTGCATGATAGAATCCATAGGAACATATACCCATCAGGCATAAGGAACCTTAAAAAATATCCATAAAATAGATAAGACCATTAAAAAGCGGATAAGATAAAATCTCTCGTTAAAAGCCATGTGTGTGTGTATGGGTGCGTTCAGATGGGCCGTTTAGTTTGGTTTCGGCCCGCCTCAGAAATGGATTTTATCTGCGCGATCACGCAGTCAACATCTGCCTCCCGTCCCCAGCCGTCGCTTTCCAGCTCAAAACCGCTTTAACCCGGAGTATTTTGATACCAGGTCCCCAAGTGGTGTTTTCCTGATTCTCCGGTTCCAGCTGCACTTTTCTGACGTCTGATCGCTCCTGCAGTGTCAAGCGACTTCCGGTTTAAGCCCCCTCCCCGCTCAAAAGCTGCCCGAGGCTTCCGTTTTTCGCCCGCCATTTTTTAAAAAGCGTTGGCGGTGTGCACATAGGTGGAGGTCCGCCACCAAGTTATTAAAAACAATTTTTAGACGGTGCCTAGTTTTAGCGTTTAGATGAGTTCCGGATCACACAAACGCCATTTTCGGGGTAAACGTTTAAAGGGAAGTGTTCCTTTAAAGTTTAAAGGGAAGTGTTACAGCAGTCGGGTTGAAGTGGAAATCGCTGTTCTGCGCACGCGTGAAAATTTTAGTTCTACAGATGGCCACCTGTGTGCATGCCCAAACTGAGAGAGAGAGAAAAACAACAGTGACGCACGCTCCCGCCTGTGGACGGCGGGGAGCAATGTGGCTGCGCAGCAATCCGGAGCAAGGAGGGGAGTGTGATCGCGATTCTCCAAGTTAAAAAAGACCGCATTGGGGCCGGAGCAATTTAAACCGCTCCCAGCACGCTGTCTGACCGCACCCTATGTGTTTTAGCCTGGTGCCTACAACAAAATAAGCACTAGGTAAGCCTCAAAGAGGAGGGCATTCCAAAGGTGTGGTACCACTATAGAAAATCCCGTCTCTAGTTGCCACCCAGCTCACTCTGAAGGTGGGGGTGCAGAGGGCACGGCTTGAGAATCAGTCTGTTCACTATTGGGGGCCGACCAAATATTATACTGGGGATACATTATCAGATCTTCCAGAGAGTACTTTAGCCTTAAAAGGCAACCATGTAGGGTTACCAAGTACCTACCTTCGAATCGGCGGGGGACACATGGTTCCCGGCCGGAACATCCCTCGGTGGAACATATCCCCACCGCATCATGCCATCGCCCAGATATGACGCCAGCACGCTGGGCATGTAGCTGGGCGACGTTCTGGCAATGGAGCTGGAAACTCATCAAGTTTCCAGCTCCATTGCCAGAGTGTCGCCCAGCTACTTGCCCAGCGTGCTGGCGTCACAGCTGGGCGACGGCATGGTGTGACGCATTTGTTTTCCGCGCAGGAATGTTCCTGACAAGACGTATGTGTCCCCCACCGATTCAAGGTAAGTACTTGGTAAGCCTACAACCATGAGAGTCCAATATGGATTGAGCCTGCAGCACTGGGGAAGGGAACTAATAGTGCTGTTTCTGTGGTGAAAAGATCCTCCAAACTATTACTGGCCCTAGCAGAAGGGGGATGGGAAATACAATTGTACAAGGGGCGGGACCCGCGATACTCGTGTGGGGGGAGGGACCTCCACACATGAGGCAGAGGAGGAAGCAGCAGGAGGAGGTACGTTCCCCCCATCCCGCCGGTTCCTCCCCCATCACCTCCACCCCCCCGCTCGATCTCCCCCCCTTGCCTTCCCCCCGGCTCCGAAGCGAGCCCCCCCGGCATGCGCATGCGCAGGGGGTGCTCTGTCAGCGACTTCGCTATTAGTATATAGATATGGCTCCCCACCACCACCAAACCACAGCTAATGAGCCCAGCCCCACCTGAGCATGAGGAAAGTTAACGCTCCTACCCCACCATAATCTTATCCAAATAGGAGCCCCTGCAACTGTTTGTTATGGACAAAATACACAACAGGAGATGCCAATTGTAAATCTGGCCTTCAATCAAACTGCTTGGACACAAATACCAAACAAAACTGCATGAAAGCAAGCTCGTAAATAGACGCTCCCATTCTTGCCAGGGTAAGTAAGAATCTCCCTCCAGGTAACCAGGCAGGGAAGTCTAACAAAAGCTGATTCTTGTAAGTAGCAAATGATGTCTCTAACCATGTATCGGCTTATTAACATTGCTACAAATCAGGGCTATTTTTGGGCAGGAACGCACAGGAACGGAGTTCTG